TGTCAAACAAATATCCAATTCTTAGTACTGAATGCGATCTAGAGTTTAGTTGTATACTTCCTAAATTATCATCGAGTCAAACTTGAGAAGACGAATATGCATTCAAGTAATATATATGTCGTTTAGGTACTGACATATCATTAAGGTTGATCGGCTCACTTAAGTTGTGTTCCATAACTTTTAAAGGTAGTCCAACACCTATGCTTATTTGGATTCCTTAATTAATCCAAGTCATTTACTTAGTATAGGCCATAAGGGTATTTTGGTCATTTTGTTGTTCAGTTTTATTCCATTCATTTTAGAGCTCGAGGATATCCAATCATTCCTGAGCTTGGTGATATTCTTGGTCATTTGCATTCTAAGGGTATTCTGGTCATTTTACAGGTCCATTGTAGTCTAATAATTCATTCCGTCTGATCTTATTATTAAATTCAAACTTATCATTTATGTCAGTCCCATCGAACTATTCTGATAGATCCGATGTATTTCAATCATTTTCATTCATCTGATCTTATTATTTAATTCAAAAGTATCATCTTTTCCAGTCCTTTTGAATAGTTCTGACAAAAAAGCACCCTTGATAATTTATTCTTAAATAGGAGATTTCGATATTAAAAGTCTTTTCAAATTTTACTAACGAATTATCAGGAATTTTCCATACAAAAGTAGGATATAAACAATTAAATCAGTAATTTATCGGTTTAAGTACAAATTCTTAGGTTACTTTCCCATTAAAAGTCAACTCGGACTATTTTTACCTTTCAAGGGAATTTTTGTAATTTCTTAACCAAATAATTTCAGTATTAACTCTTTTCAAAATAATATAATTTAGAGATCCTATGATTAATTACTTTCCCGAACATTCTCTGATCTTGAAATGATTCCCTTAAGAGGCTCCTAGATTCTTGCACAAACCCTCTTAGGTTAAAAATCGATTATCTATATTTTCTAAGCAAAACTAGCATTTTTTATGCACATCAGTAGTTTCATCAGATCCATATATCTTTAAAAACCTCTTATCCAACTTCCATAGTCAAATCTTATCTTTTTATAACATAAGGGTATTTTCATAATTTTACCCTACCGGAGTATTCTCATAATTTATCATCCAAGTACCTTTAACATTTAACCTTTGATGAAATAAATTATAAGTTACAGATCAAGGTTGCTTTCTTTATCACTGAGCATAGAACTTGTAACTTAATTCGAACAATCCCTCAATTTCTTATAAAAGTCATCTGAACCATAATCAATTATTGAACCTTTTTACCGTATTCAGATCAAGTGTAGAAATTAATTAACTACACAAATGAGACCAACATTATCTTAATCATGCATTTACCAATATTAACATGTTCCATAAAGCATAAAGAGGTAATAAAGTATTGCCTCGATTTTCGTATCATACTGATCAACCATATAAATTCCATTCGAACGCCTTTGATCTTTAATTCAACTTCCAATATTTCCTCAGATCCATATCAACAGAAATTACATAAAAAACGGGGCTTAATTCAGAAAAACGGATCGAATTGGGTGATAAATCAGTCAAAAAACAGCTTATTGGGTTCGAGTTTGGCGAATCGGACCCCAAAAAGGGATTCGAGACGTCGAAAACTTAAAATATAACTTTTCAAAAAATTTGACTTTTCAGTCAAAGTCAAAGTCAATGGGTTTGACTGGAAATTTCGAGGCCTTTGGGTCTGAATTTCAAAAAACAGATTGCGGATTCGGACTCAGAAAGTCAAAAAACGTCAGGATAGGTATACCCGATCAAAGTCAAAGGTCGTTCAACGCCCGGTCAACGCTAGTAAAAGTTCTGGTCAATAGTGGTCAACGCCGGTCAACGCAGGACAACGGTCAACAGTCAACCGTTTTACACAAATATCACCCTAACATAAATTAATTACAAAATTAGCCACCTTCTATAAATATTTACAAAACTAACACCCGAATTTTACACAAATATCACCCTAATGGAAATTAATTACAAAACTAACACCCTCTACGCGCAAGGGCGGCACGTGAACAGTGATACGGTGTCTGAAAATTCCCGAAAAAATTCCTAATAATTATTTTAAGGCATTTTGAGACACTTACTGAGCTCGGTTCACAATTTTGAACGGCGGAGAGATCGATTTCGAAACATCAAAAACTTTGATTTTCTCACCCCTCCACGCGCCGGTGACGATGGAGAAACAGAGGACATCGGAGTCAGAATGATGCAAGAAACACGATGGTGCAGGACGTGTCGAAAATAGAAGGTCGGATCGTCGTGAATCGACGAAAAACCAACTGAAATCGAGTTAATACCGACGATACTTCCGACTGAAATTAACGACGAACGATAATGATTCACGATGAAAGGTTTGAGGGGTTTTGTTCATCGGTTAACAACGAACACGATGGTGGTTTCGGTTCGTCGATCGAAGGTCAGACGGTGAGTAGATCGGAGTTCAAAGAGGGGTTGATGGGGGAGGGAAAACTGGAAAAAATGCGCAGAAACAATCGGGGAAGGGGCTTATAATTTATCCCTTAAAAAATAGGTAAACCATGAGTTTAGTCACTGAATTTCCTGCACTTCTTAAAACGATCTGCCAACTTTACGATTTTATAATTTAATCATCAATTTCTTCCAAAATACCAATTAAATCCAATACTTTATAATTTCTAAAATTTAGCCCCTAAATTGGGGTGTTACATACTATACAAATACAAGACTAAATTGCAACATACACGAAACAAGAGATCGAATTAAAAAGAAAATAACTTTGTAGTAATGACTAAAATAGAAGGTTACAAAACACAAATGACCTTTATAGAGAATATACCAGGCGCGAAAATGCTCACCATGTCCTCCCTAAAAATGGCTCAAACGCGATAGATCAGCAAAACAACCTTTCGATTCTTCGACTCCGGTAACCCTTGGCTCCTTGGCGTTCGACCGAGGTAAGCCATTATCTTTCTCTCCTCTTTTTACTTTCGATATTTCTATCTCTTTTCCTTTGAAACCCATTTGTATTTTCTCTCAACCCCCCAAATCCCTCGGTGTTTCTCTCGGTTTTGTTTTATGTTTTTTCACCCAATCCTTTTCTCTGAATCTTCTCCCTTCTTTTTATCGTGATGGCTTCTAAGTGATGACTTTTTAGTAGATAAACTGAGGAAATAGGCTTGATATCCTCAGGATAATGTGTGGATTTTCTTTTGATATTTTTTTTATTTTCTGTATCTACTTTTCTGATTGATTGGTGTGTTTCTGTCAGTGTTTGGTGCAGATCTATCGGTAGCAGTGTCAGGCATAGGGGAAGGCTCGATGGTGGGTGGTAGCTAAATGGGATTTAGGGTCAACCCTAATCTCTAGAGCGATCTGGACCGTTGGATGGGTCCATATCCAAGGGTCAAGATTAAGGCAGTTGCTGATAAGATACCTTAAGGTTAGAGTTTGGTACTGGGCCGGTTCGGGTCGGGTATGGATTGACTCCTAGCTTGAACCGGGTTGCTTGTAATTATTTGGGGCTGTTGGGTATTTGGGCTGGTATGCTGGGCCTCGGGTATGGGCTCCATCTGGGTTGGCAGCTTGTAACTGGGTCACTTGTGGGCTGCATTTGTATATGGGCTTCGGGTTAGATGGATTTGAGGGTTGTATTTGGGCTGTATAAGCCCTACAAAAATGTAATCAAAATTAATAATAATAATAATAGAGTAATAATATTTTTGTAGACTAGGACAAAAGCGGGTGTCTACATATATAATTTTATTTTTTAAATTTTAAATATTTTTTAAAAAAATTATCAGATTGTGACATGTGTCACTTAATGGAGAAAACTAACGGTCCATCAATGCGTGGCCCATTTTGAGTAACGAAATGAAACGTTAGGCACCAAACTAGAAAAAAAACATTAGGCACTAAACTGGAAAAACGGACATATGTTGGGCACCTTTTGTATACTTAAGCCTTATTATTATTATTATTATTATTATTATTATTATTATTGTTGTTGTTGTTGTTGTTGTTGTTGTTGTTGTTGTTGTTGTTGTTGTACAAAAAACACTTGAAACCCTTGTATTTTAAAAAAAATTAATATAGTTCTTGAATTATTTTAGTACTCAACATGACCTTTAAATTTAGAAAACAAATGCAATGTGATTCTTCGACAAATAATTTATATCGTTGATCATTACAGTGGTGACATTGTACTTTATAGTGTTGACGTGGTAGTTCACGGTGGTTGGTGACGTGGTTGATGACGTGAAAAATAAGTTAAATTGATTATTTTTAAAGTTTAATGGCTTATTTAATTTTAAAAAAATTATTTTAGTTATAGGGAAAAAATAGGGGTTTTAAGGTGTTTAAGTATTGTTTATTAAAAAATTTCAATTTGTCATCGATCAAATAATTAAGGGAATATAAATTTTCGGTGTCGCTAATATAATCCTTAATGACTTTATTTTTATTTAAAAACATTATAAAAATAGAAAAAAGTTGTCATTATATATATATCAAGTATGGTAAGTTGTTTTATTAGTTTTTTTTTAATAATATGAGGTGATTATAAGATAATATTTGTTTAGAATATTTGTATACATACCCTACAAACACAATTGCTCAAATCCAATACCTCAAGGAAGAACAATACTTATGGTTTGTATGTGTGACAATTTAATATAATAATAATTTCATTCCAGGAAGGTGGGATCGATATAAGTTGTTTGGATTATTTTTAAAAAAATAATACCAATGGAAAACAAAAGCCGTGTGAGAAATATTGACAGATGTAAAGTGGAGATCCCATTAAGGCAGTTAAGCTAAACTGGGAAGGCTGGGTCACCTTCAAGAGAAATATAAGCTTATACTCTTGATTAAGCCTTAGCCTTGTCTGTTCCACTATATAAACTGTTGATATTATCGGTTTATGCATCTTCAATGTATCCTTCTCAAGCTTAAGCCACTTACCCCAACCGAAACCACTTCATTTCCTTGTAAACAAATTTTCATTTTCATGGACATACAAAACTTTATTTTCTCGCTCTTTTGTTGCTTGCTATTTTCTTTCTTCTCAGGTAATGGAAAACAAGTGAACCCCATTCTTTTCAGCTTCGTTTGGAAAGGGTTTGGTTTCAAAAATCTTTTCTTTTGACGTTAAATGATGGAATTGTAGGTGAAAAACAAGTTGCCGAAGGTGCAAGATTGTCTTGGACATCGCCATCTTTTGTTTTCAGACCAAAGATGCTGTTTGCATTCGGAGATTCCTATGCTGATACAGGGAACTCTGAGATAGCAGTGACGAGATCCTGGAAATTTCCTTATGGAATTACATTTCCTGGGAAACCTTCTGGTCGTTTCTCCGATGGTTTTGTCTCCACTGATTACATTGGTAAAACGGGGAATACCTTTCTTTTGGTTTTGAATATGAAAAACCATGCAAAGTTGTAGACAATGTTAATTACTGATTAACTGATACAAAGGGTTGGTTTTTGGACAAGCAGCGAGTTACCTGGGAATGAAGACACCGGTACCATACAGATGGAGAAAACAAGTGAGTGGGCGAGTGAAGGATGGGATGAACATGGCTTATGGAGGGACAGGTGTGTTTCAGACGTTGATTTCGGGGCCAAATATGACGACTCAGATTGATTTCCTAAAACAACTACTGGATGACTCGGTCTACACTCCAAGGGATTTGAAAACATCAGTGGCACATGTCAGTCTTTCAGGCAACGACTACTCCACTTACTATGCCAGGAACGGCTCTGTTGCGGTAATAATTAAGCGTGTTGAAGAAAACTGATAATGCTGTGAAGCAACTTATGGTGTTAAATTTACAGGGTTTACAAGCCTTCATCGAAAGCGTTGTGAAGCAACTCATGGTGAACTTGAAACGCATCCAAGAGCTGGGAGTGCGCAGAATCGGCGTGTCTTCACTGCTACCTTTGGGTTGCATCCCTCTAAACACCGCCCGTTTCTCCTTTCAACGCTGCAACCAAACGGACAACGTCTTCGTTCAACTCCATAACCATCTCTTGCTTCAAGCTGTCAACACTTTGAACCAACAAACCAACCGCACATCCTTCTTTGTTCTTGATCTTTATAACGCCGTGGATACCATTTTGGGCAAGAACCAATCCCAGCCAGGTAAATAACACATAAAAATCTTCACTTGTGATGTTTTCCCCTTTCATTAATCGTTTTCTTTGTGTGGCAGGAAGTCCGAGATTTGAGAACCCATTGGAGCCATGTTGTTTTGGAGTGAGTGAAGAGTTTGAATGTGGGAGTGTGGATGAAAATGGGGAAAAGAAATACAGGCTTTGCTCTAACCCTAAATCCAAATTCTTTTGGGATGGAGAACACCCTTCATCACAAGGATGGAGAGCGGTATACTTGTCTCCTGCTTTTCAAGACACTCTCAAGCAGTTTTTGTAGGACGTTATCATCAATGAATCCCCCGGACTTTGCAATGTTTGAAATTTTGTTGGGAAAACAAACTCTACAATCGAACAACTTTCTTTTTTTCAGAAAGGAAAAAGTTTATGGATTGAATTTTAAGATATTTAGAAAAGTGAATTTAAAACCGATTCTCCATTCCCAAATGTATTTTTATGAAAAGGCTAACCTTACTTGTAATTCGCCTAAAGTTTTCAAGCATTAATCAGCTCATAGTTTATTTAAGGTTTAACGTAAAAATTAGTATATAAATTACACCTTAATTTAACTCTAAGTGTTTAAAGAATTTTTAACTCAAAATAGATGTTTAATGTTTGTTCGTTAGACTCTTAGATGCCAAGGTCATTATTGGGATCCGGATGTGAGTAATTGTTTCGGTCTACTTGTCGGGCCCTAGACTTAATAAACTCAAATGCCCTAGAATTTGTTATATGGCCACAACCGTTAGGGGCACAGAAGCCCATGGACAAACTTGTGCCGTGTTCTATAGGTAGTTAATCCATATTCATCGTACCTAGGGATGTTCAAATAATCGAATTAATTCAGTTAATCGATTGAACTGAATTAATTTGATTAATTCGGTTCGGTTATCGAACTAGTTCGATCAGTTAACGGTTAAGAAAATTTTTAGAATTCGATTAACGGTTAATTCGGTTCGAATTCGGTTAATTAACCGAATTAACCGAATTAACCGAAATTAAATTTTAAATTTTAAATATATTATATATAACATATGGACTCCAAACCATTTAAAACCCAATTAATAATTTAAGATCTAATAACTTTTAAATCTAAATCAATATTAATTAACTAAAAACATTATAAAAAAAATTTATTTTATAATTATATATTATTTAAATTAATTTTAAACTGTTTTTTTAATTAAAAATATTATATATATTATATATAACATATGGGCTAAGCCCAAACCATTTAAAACCCAATTAATAATTTAAGATCCAATAACATTTAAACCTAAATCAATATTAATTAATTAAAAAATTTATCTGAAATTTTTATTTTATAATTATATATTATTTAAATTAATTATAAACTTTTTTTAATTAAAAAACGTTTAATTTTTATATAAATTAGAAAATTTTAAAAAAAAATCGGTTAATTCGAAAATTAACTGAATTAACCGAAATTTATTCGTTTGGTTAATATATTTAAAAAAAAGTTCGGTTCGGTTAACGGTTAAAGAAAAAAAAAGTTTGATTAATTCGGTTATGGTCGGTTCGATTTTAACCGAATGAACAGCCCTAATCGTACCACTCTACACAAAACGAGCATTATCGGGATTCTATGAAATAAAAGCCAAGCTGACGATTCTTCAATACAAGTTCGTCACACAATTCAGAAAGATTTAAGACTATCAACGTAACAAAATCTTCTAAATATTTAATTTAATAATGATAATTCTATTTTCTAAATAAATTTTAAAAATAACAATTAAAAACTAAAATACAAATATTAAAACATTTAAACTATTTTTTTTGGTTTAATTCAATGAAGCTTGCACAGTTTCATTCTGCACTAGTACAATCAATTGGGGAGTGAGTATAAAAATCTCTCGCACAATAGGTTTATATCAACCCATCTTAGTGAACATATCAGCCACTGCATTTCCTTGATGAAACATGACCTGCTATTCGTGTTACAAAAAATTATGGATTGGTTTTACAATCGAGAATCTTGTTAAAAATTATTTGCTCGATAGATCAAATATTAGTATGATTTATTAATATATATATAACATTTAAACTATTTTAATATATAATAACCACGTGTATCGCCGGGATAAAAAAAAACTAGTTACAAATATATTATTTAATTTCAAAATTAATACATTGACAAAACTTACTATATCAGTGTAGCTTTATAAGGAGAATCTTTTATATTATTTTAATATATCCTCATATTATTAAGCTATCTGCCCTTAATTTTTTAGCAAAAGAAAAAGGAAACTAGTTCATGACATGATATAGAATAAGGTTTTGGTTATGATGAAGGAATTGAATTATTGCAATTTTTATATTTTTTTGGGAAATGATAATATCTAATGATTGAGATAAGCAAGAGAATAATCTGGTCTTTGTGTGGGTTCTCTTCAAATATTATATGAATTATAAACAACTGAATCGAAGGCATTAGGAAGAACTATTGAGTGCTAAAGAACAATATATATGACGTGATAGGATTATAGAGATTTAGAATCTTTATATGAGTGAAAATAAATGGTTGCGATTAACGGTAGAAAATAAGAAGATATTCAATGGGAAAAAAAATAAGAAATAATCTCAATCATTTATTCTCTCATATATGATGGTCTTAAATCTATATAAAACTAAAAGAATTTTATATTATATAACTTAACCTCATATATATATATATATATATACACGTAAATGAATTAAGAGTGGAAAATGAAGAAGTACTATTTCCTTTTTGTTGACCTAACTTGAATGATGGATGTTTTAAACGACAAAGCAAAGGACATGCACGTTTCATGCAGCCTACTAGACTGCTTCTTGGAGGATGAGGCCCATGTCTTTTACCTTGCAGTCAAAAACCCAGAGATTTTATTTTCAAATCTCCAATTAAAATTAATATATGTCTATTAATTCGTTATATTCTTGGGAAATTGTCATGGTAAAAGTCAAAGTAAATTACACGACAGAAACACTAAACAATAATCATTGCCAATGTCTTTATTTAAGATGTATTTTTTGTTCATAATTACACAAGTATATTTACATTTTTGTTGTAAGCCTTCTTTCTTTAAGGAATTTGCTAATGTTGTAGTAATATGAGTAGTCAATAATATTAGATATAGATTGTAAGAATGGTCTAATGATATTAGAAATAGATAAAGGAAAAGAGCAAGAAATAAAATAAAACATTTATTAATCAATATTTGTGAGGTGGCCTTTCTTGTATTCTTGTATTGAATCCAAAGGATTTTTCTTGACCTGACTATCGATCGATAAATTTTTGATATATTAATCATGGAATTCTTTTCATTTTATAAATGAAAAAAAAATCAGATGTGATATTTTTGAAAATTCGTTTAATGTTTATATAAAAATAATTTATATTATATAGATCATTATACTTGCATTATAATTGTGTTTTTTTATCATACCATATTTAATTATTTTCTTATTATATATATTGATGTTACATCTAACTTATGGAATTTAATTGTGACCCACACAATAATTAATTTTGAATAGTTGGTTTGCTGTATTATCCTACTCCACTAATAAGTTTGGATAAAAAGAAGATTATAGTTAATCATATAAAAGACAACGATGTGGGTCCATGAAGCCGAAGATTCATAATAAGAAAACGAGGGAAGCTTAGCTAAAAGCACACTAGTTGGAGTTGATTAATTAAGCACTGTGCATGAATTATTTAACTTTTGCTTTTTCCCCGACAAATGGAAGTGATCGAAATTTTAATAGTATGCTTCAAGTTTTGTTGAAGTGCAAGCCAAAACCATCTGAAGTTTATAATAATATATGTTCATTGTTTTAGTTTAGAGGTTGTCTTCAAAAAATTCTTGAAGCCGGTGAAATTAAGTTTTATAATAACCTAAGATTTCATGTTATAGGATAAATTAATAAAATTTCAAGTGAAACAAAATTATAAAATTTAGAATAAGAAAAAATAAATTATTAATAAAATAATAATAAAATATATAAAAATTTAAAAATTTTAAAAATAATAGTTATCATCAAATCCTTTTATCCATTCCAAAATTTTTGGATGTGATTGTCTCTTGACTAATCCCTTTTTAACCTTTTTCATCTTGTTCAAGTTGTATTTTTCGGGTAAAATGCACAAATGATCTCTCAACTATATGACATTGTTTTGTTGAGTTCCTCAAACTATAAGGGGTTCTTTTATTGAGTCCCTCATTTATTAAAAGTTACAAAATAAGCATATGATTATTCATGTGTTTCAAACCTGTCATTTTCTGTTAAAAATCGGTAGTCGTCGTCTAAGTTGGATGTTAACATGCTGGCCGTGATATGATAACATCTGATCTCAGAATCTCAAATGATTATAAGATCAAATTTTATCATATCTCACTCAACATGTTAACATCTAGCTCAGACGATCGTCAATTATTTTAACAAAAATGACAAATTTAGAATATATGAATAGTCAGGTTACTATTTTGTAACTTTTAATAGTCGAATAACTCAACAAAATAACGTTTTATAATTAAATGATCATTTTGTAACCTTTAATAATAAAAAAATCAATAAAATAATATCATATAATCATGATCATTCATGTACTTTACCCTTATCTTTTCCCTTTCTAATACCTATATATCACTTCGAAATCAGTGTTTTGTATATGTAGATGAATAAATTATTCATGCAAAACTAATATCCACGTCGAGCCAAGTGTAACAAGGTATCCAATGCTGTATTCGGTTAGTTGAAAAAGGTAATTGTCACTTTACATGCGCTTGTGAGTCTGCATAAACCTTTCACATTTTTAATAAAAGGTTTCAAAGTACAAAAATTTTAGTCAAAGGAAAATTGAGCAGAAACTTTTAGAATGCGGAATCCTATACATAAAAACAAATTTAGGTGCTAAAGAGGAAGGAGATGTTATGTCAATTATTTATTATTAATAATTTAGGTAGAATATACATGTTTTATATAGTGTTATAGCTGGTTGTATTAAATTATAAATAAATGTGTTGTGAAGACTAGCTAGTCGTAAGCCTTCTTACTTCATATAAATTAATTATTACATAAAAATTATGCACCAATCAATATTGTTCTTCACCCGGTCCATTTAAATTTAAAATTCATAAATATATTTTATATAAAAAAAATGTCTCAAACAGACATAAAATTTTATATAAAAAGTATAATTTTATATAAAGTATAATTTATTTAGTGAAACTTTATGAATTGGAAAAAATATTGCTGTCTTTCTTTCAATGACTCTAA